AGTCAGTTTACAATTCAAAAGCAATAACATCACCACCGAAATAGATCATAACAGTCATGCTACTCAAATCCTTCATGCCAAGGTTGTAAGATACACATGAAACATGATTAAATGACAACAAAAAGAGACATTTTGCCTATGGTTTCCTCACCTTAGTGCAGACCTTGTTTTATTATGCTCAAGCCAAAGCCGTCTCCATGCCAAACTGCTCCTTTAGGCCAACCAATGTCTCATCACATGTATACCCGAAACAAAATAATGAAAAAAAAATATCATGAACGTATCCTTCGCGTACATAAAGCATGATAAAATGAATTACTACAGCAAAATTCTCTTCAATTAATTTATTCAAGTGCTCCATATAGATGTGAGAAAACCTCTTATGTCATAACCATGATTCATTGTTACTTACCAAGAGACACCTAACATTCAAAGACAAGTTATCTAAGGAAATTAAGAAAATATTATTAACTCGTTTACCTTTTAGCATAACTTCATGAGTAACTTCGTTTTCAATCAAGCATTCATTTTTAGTGAAGTTGATTTTGAAACCTCGGTCACACAATTGGCTAATGCTAAGTAAAATATGCTTTAGACCTTTCACATATAGGACATCCTTTATGGTTGTTGAAGGCGGTGAACCAACGATGCCTACGTTGAGGATTCTTCCTTTGTTGTTGTCACCATAGGTAACAAATCCTTTGGCCTTAAGCATTAGATGTGAAAATTTGCTTAGGTCACCCGTCATGTGCCTCGAACATCCACTATCAAGATACCATTCATTTGAAGAGGTCTTCAAGCATACCTACAAAAAAGAGTTAAGTTTTATTAGGTACTCAAATTGCCTTGGGTCCTTCAAAGTTAGTTCCTTTCTTTACCCATACATAATGGCATTGTGCAATACTAAAATTTCTAATATAACATGCATTGGAGTATGTCCTTTTATACCACAATAGAAACATGTAGGCTCAAAGTTACTTTTATATCTAGGGGGATAAGATTTCTTCTTATTGTTTCTTTTCTTCTTGACATATTGATGAACCCTTTTATGATCGTCACCTTTTCCCATAGGAATTTGTTCTTTAGCTTTAACAAAGATGGTCTTGTTAGAAGTTTGTTTAGAAAATTTTGAGTAACCAAGACCACTTTTATCATTTGAGTATCTTTGATTACTAAGAAAACTTTCCAATCCAATTTGTCCTTTTTCATATCTTTCTAGGACCCTTTTTAATTGGACTATTTGAAAAGAGAGTGACTCACATTTAGTGCATGCAAAATTCTTAATTAATTTTTCCTTTTCATCTTTAAAATTATTTTCCATTTTCTCAAGATTTTCTTCTAAAGTTGTTATTTGTTTCTTTTGAGATGAAATGGTTTTATATATAATTTTTCATTCACTTAAAAGTTCATCAATTGCTCCTTGAGCATCATTATCAAAAATAGAGAAATCACTACTAACCTTATTGTCTTCATCGTCAAAATGATGTGATGCCATCAATGCTAGATTTTCACTTTGATCACTATCGGATTCCGATGAAGAACTTATTTCGTTGTCATCCCAAGCAATGTAGGACTTCTTTTTGTAATCCGTCTTTCCTTTGTGGTCACGATTCTTTGCGAGTTTAGGACATTCCGATTTGATGTGGCCTTGCTTTCCACATTCATAGTATGTAATGTCTCCATTAGATATTGATGTTTCTTTTTCTTTATTCTTTGAGAACTTCTTTCTTCTTGTATAACTAGAGTTTCTAATATTATTTTTTGCACCAAAATATTTACCTAGTCTTTTTACAAGAAGCGTAAAATTTTCGTCCTCTTCGGGATTGTCTTCTTTCTCCACTTCTTTGGATTCAACTTTCAAGGCAATGCTCTTGGATTTCTTCTCTTGAATTTCATGTTTCTCCAATCGTCCAAGTTCCGTCTCATATTCTTGGAGTTTTCCGAATAACGTAGCGGATGTCATTGTTGATATACTTTTCTTTTCGAAAATCGTCGTCACTTTGGGTTGCCATTCTCTTGATAAGGACCTAAGCACTTTAAGATTAAGTTCATCATTTGTTAGTGTCTTACCAAGTGCACTCAAGTGATTTGTCAAATGCACGAATCATTTTTGCAAGTCTAGGATAGATTCTTCTGGTTGCATCCTGAATAGTTCGTATTCCTGACTCAATGTATTTAATCTAGATCGTTTGACTTTGCCGGTTCCTTCGTGAGTTTCAACAAGAGTGTCTCATATTTGCTTAGTCGTTGTACATGTTGAGATACAGAAGAATTCATCCATTCCAAGTGCACTTTGTAAAATATTTATGGCCTTTTTGTTGTAGAGAACTTTCTTCTTATCATCATTATCCCATGATCCTTGCGGTTTTGATGAACCAACTCCGTTGATCACCGTTGTAGGAACAAAAGGACCATTTTGAAAAGCCTCCCATATTTCACTTCCTTGTGCTTCTAGATGTGTCTTCATGCGGATCTTCCAGAAGTCGAAATATTCGCCACAAAACAAAGGAGGCTTGTTGATGATGCCGACGTCTTTAAATACAAGATTGTTATTTGCGGAAGCCATCTGGATTGAATAGGAACAGGTTACCTATAACCTGCTCTGATGCCAATTGTAACTTGTAAATGCGTCTAAGTGGGGGTGAATTAGGTTCTGAAAATTTATTTGCAATCTTTTACGGTTCTTTTTCCGGTTATGATGTTAATGACTTGAAAGAAAAAGCAGGAAAGAAAAAGAGACACAGAAAATTTATAGTGGTTCCCCTCATACTCCGAGAGTACTCCTCTCCCCTTTCGACTCGAAAGAGATTTCACTATAGTTTAGAATTATTGCACAGCCTAATCACACTAATGGTGATGCCTACTATCTAATTTATAGGTAATCCAAATGAATGAAGAACAATCCTCTTCAAACACTTCACTTGTTTCCAACAGTCCTGGATAACAAGGTAATACGAAAAATGATCTTTGAGATAAGTTTGAAACTTTGATAGAATGTTGTTATCAATCTTCACGATCGATCTTCTTCTTGAAACAAAAATTACTCAAAACAAATATACAAGTATTCTTGTGAAAGGAAGTTGTGATAGTGTGAAAGTTTATTCAAAGGCTTCTTTCAAAAAATGTTTTTTTTTAACACTTAAAATGAAAATTGGAAGGATGAAGAAAAATGAGTAATTTGAATGATTTTGTTTCTTGAAGGTAAATTGAAATTTTTAAATTGATAACAATTTATAATGATCAAAAACCTTTTCAAAAGGGTGTGATTTTGTGCAGCAAAAAACAGTCAGAAAATAAAATGGAAACCAATGCATATTTTCATGAAAAGCTGTCATTTTTGCTTGCTGGTTTAGTGTTAATCGGTTAACCAAATGAGTTAATCGGTTAACAACTTACAACGTTTAAAAATATTCAAATTTTACACATGTTAATCGGTTAACCATATAGGTTAATCGGTTAACACTGTAACAAAATCACAAATAAATTAATTTTGAAATGTGTTAATCGATTAACACTGAAGGTTTTTCAAAAAATACTTATTTTTAACAAGAGTGAGTAACTTAAACTTGTTTTAAAAATGTTTTAAAAGTGTTTGTGATATATGTGAAGTGAAATGTGAATTATGAACACTTGTATAGATATTTTTAAGTAATATCTGTTATACCTTTACTTTGAACATCGTCATTACTTGAAGCTTGTAATAGAAGTTTTGATCCATAGTAGACATATGCGAGAGTACTATCTTGATCTTTGATGTCCTTGTTGTTTACTTGATTTTCTTACTTTTTGCGTAGTTTATGTTGCGTAGAAAGCTTGTTCTTGTTGTCCTCATCAAAACATTAATGGGCTTGAAGCTTGCTTCTACAGGATGATCCAGGAGAGACACCTTAAAAAGTATGTCAAACGCAATTCCTCTTATGAGACAAATAGATTCACCTCTCGTGGGTGAGACAACACACTGAGTCCCAAGCATGCCAAGGCGATGTCAGTCTAAAGTAGCAAAATCGTGCACTACACGCTTAATTCTATTGCATGAGGATTTGTCGGAGATGTAGAGACTAACCCCACCCATATGAGAAGTATTTTAGAATTTGTTTTAGAATGTTTCTCCACAACTCAAAAAAAGCAATTCTCTAAACATAATAGATATTAATAAAATATATATATGAATAAATAGGTTTTATGAATATACCTCCTACCTTACACTTATGTAGAGTTAGTCTAAAGAGTTAATAGACGCTTAAAATGATATAGTAGTTCTATTTTAAATAAAATAATTAAAAATATATATATGATGAAAATAAACAGCACTTAATGTATATGAACTAAAAAAAATCTATTTGTTAAATACTATGGGTCATTGAGCCATTTGTTATACATTTAAAAAATAAATTTAAAATGATTTTTATGATAATATTTTTTAAATAATTAAAAAAATATAAATTAAATAATAAATTTTATCATCTAATTTAAGATATAATCAAAACCACATAAATTTTTTAAATTATATTTATTTTTAAATTTTAATTTAAAATAGCTCTAAATTTAAATGATTTTTTAATATTTAATATCTTTAAAAACCTATAAAAAAGGATTAAGTAACTAAAATAAAGTTGTATGAAAACTATTTAACCGAATTTTCTTTAGAATTTTTTTTATAAAAAAATTATGAATTTCTTTTGGTATAAATAGGTAATTTATATATATATATATATATATATATATATATATATATATATATATATATATATATATATATATATATATATATATATATATATATATATATATATATATATATATATATATAAACTGAAATAAAGTGACCCTTTATATAATCAGATGGTTGAGGTTAAGTGGTTAATTAATTTTATTTAATACAAATGGTTGGAAATAATTCATATTTACAACAAAAACTCTATATATATACACACCAGTTGTCTTAGAAGTTAGAAAAAAAGAAAAACTTGTGCGAGAGAATTTAGAGGATATTGAAAACCATGGTTTGGTGCTTACACAACCGAATGTTATCTCCAGTTATCTCCTCCATTATTGTGTTATGTTTATTGTCGATTCATTCTTCCATTGCTGAAAACCTTCCAAGGTTCCAACATCATCTAAAACGACAACAACAATCTCTCAACTTTTTGGTCGTTGGAGATTGGGGAAGAAAAGGAAACTACAATCAATCTTTTGTCGCTCATCAGGTAATTTAATTAATTCCCTTAATTCCTCTTTTAATTATCTATTTTTCATTTGATTGCATACTCATCAAGCATAATTATATAGTTATTCATGCCTAATTATGTGATTATATATTGCTGATGGAGATGGTTTTATTATGAATACAAAAATAAGCAATTGCGGTTGGAGTAGATGTTGGACGTTCATAGATTACGTGTGAATTCTCTAATCTAGATTTTATGGAGTATTCACGATTTTAAAAAATAATAAAAGACTTGAATATTACTTTATTTAAATTAAACAAATCCTATATTGTTTCGATTTTAAAAATAAATCCAATTTAAATAAATTCCCATATTATATTTTTGGCAAGTAATCACCAAATTCAATATATTAATGTAATACTCTTAATAGTTTATCTCTATAAGAGACGTTGAATATTACTTAATTATTATATTAAATGGAGGAGAAGAAAAAAAAAAAAAAATATATATATATATATATATATATATATATATATATATATATATATATATATATATATATATATATATATATATATATATATATATATATATATATATATATATATATATATATATATATATATATATATATATATATATATATATATATATATATATCTTGTTTGCTAACGAGATGTTATTTTCTTTCTTTGTTTTTGTACAAGTTATTTTCTTTGCTTTTAATAAAAGGCAAATATTCTTCTTCTTTCTTTGCTTTCTCTGATGGCATATTTCAAGTATATTCTTGGCACCTATATTGCTATTTAATGAAAAGTTATAGTCATTGCTTAATCTGTCACTATTACATGTGTGTCTACCTTTCTCTTTCATTAGTTATAATAATAATTTCAAAACTATGCATAAATAAATTTAATTTAGTTCAAATTATTTTAAGAAATTTTTAAATTAACTATATAAATTATAAACTAAATTAACAAATCCCCCAGTTGATTCTAGTTTCATAAAAAGAAACACTAATATAATGATAATTTAGAATAGAGGTTAATTTATCTCTAATCCATGTTAAAAATTCAACCTTTTTAGCAATGAACTAATTTATATTTAAATTTTTAAAGTAAACTCAAAAGTTAAATTTTTTATTTAAATAGAAAGTAATCCTTAACAATATATAAATATAAAACATTATTTTGATCTAATCTTTTTATTTTAAATCTTAAGTCCTTTCACCCTAATTGTTTTAGTGTTCTATTATAATAATTTTTGTCATCAAGACCAAAAGGACAAGTAGCTTACCGACCAAAGCAGTCCACTTTGATTTTTTTGTAGGATACTCAAACACACAACATGTGCTCTTTGTTGGAATGATTCAATTTCAAGAGCTTTTTCATGTTTTAATAAATAAATAAGCCCATTTCAAATTCTTCTTTTTCAAAGGGACCACACCTTATAATTGTTGGTGCAAAGATAGAATAAATGATGAAATAGGAAATATTACTAATAAGAGAATGACGGCTACAAAACATGATGATTTGTTACAATGATTGTCACCCTATTTATAAGCTAAAACTAGGGTTACTAGAATAAGATAAATACTAAAATACCCTCTAACAAACTTAGGGGCTAAGAAAATAGTACAACTAAATAAATATGAATTATTAATAATATTCTAATACCATCCCTTAATTCATATTCCATCAAAATTTGTGACACCAATTCCATCCCTTAATCTGAGAAATTGATCAGTTTTGATAGCTTTCGTCAGAACATCTGCCAACTGCTTCTGAGTGCTGCAGTGTACAACTTCTAACACTCCACTCTGGACTTGATGTCTCAGAAAATGATACTTGGTCTCAATATGCTTGCTTCTCCCATGCAACACTGGGTTTCTAGCAAGATTGATTGCAGACTTATTGTCAATCATCAACTTCAGAGGTTTGTCTACTTTAATCTTCAGATCCTGCAACAGATTCAGAATCCACACAGCTTGGCATGCAGTAACAGCACCTGCAATGTATTCAGCTTCACAGGTTGACAACGCCACAACAGGTTGCTTCTTGGAACACCAAGAAATGGGACCTCCCAGAAATTTGAACAAGTACCCAGATGTACTTCTTCTGTCAACTCTGTCTCCACACCAATCAGAGTCTGAATAACTCAGAAGTTCTGACTCATTATTTCCTCCAGAGGGAAATAACACTCCATACTTCAGAGTTCCTTTGATATACCTCAGAATCCTGACAGCAGCTTGATAATGGGACCACTTAGGTTTACTCATGAACCTACTAACCATCCCAACAGAATAGCAAATATCAGGTCTGGTATTGCACAGATACCTCAGAGAACCAACCAATTGTTTGAAGGTTGTAGCATCCACATCCTTTCCTTCAGAGTCTGAATCCAGTTTCTGATTTGTATCAGAAGGTGTGACAGCCATCTTACAATTCTCATTGTGCTCAGATCTTTGGAATGTTCTATTGCTACCACAATGTAATCAAATTGAGGAGTAAGGGATCTCAATACTTTCTCCATGATTGTTTCTTCAGAAAGAGTTTCTCCACATGCCTTCATCTCATTAGTGATCAGAATCACTCTGGAGATGTATTCAGAAACTTTCTCATTATTCTTCATGTTGAGATTCTCATATTGCTTTCTCAAGGACTGAAGCTTCACCTTCTTCACTGATGCGTCACCACCATAACATCTCACCAGAGTGTCCCATGCAGCCTTTGCTGTTGTAGAGTCTGCAATCTTCTCAAACACGTTTACATCCACACATTGATGAATGAAGAACAATGCTTTCTGATCCTTCTTCCTTACTTCCTTCTGCGCGTTTTTCTGTTCATCAGTTGCATCTGCTGCTACTGGAACATAACCATCAGTGACAAGATCCAGAACATCTTGAGCACCAAACAGTACACGCATTTGGATCATCCAACGATTCCAATTTTTACCGTCAAATACTGGAAGTTTGGTGTTCATGTTGCCGTTTCCGTTCATCTTCTACTTTGCACAATACACTCAGAGTTTTCTCACACAGTGTTTCCCAACCCACAGAATTAAAAAATTCTGATCAGATTTTGTTCAAGATTCAACAAGAATCTGAGAAACAAAATCAAACACACAAGACCTCACGTTCACTCGTGTTTCCCGTGTTTCCCAATGAATCTGAACCGGAGCTCTAGATACCAATTGTTGGTGCAAAGATAGAATAAATGATGAAATAGGAAATATTACTAATAAGAGAATGACGGCTACAAAACATGATGATTTGTTACAATGATTGTCACCCTATTTATAAGCTAAAACTAGGGTTACTAGAATAAGATAAATACTAAAATACCCTCTAACAAACTTAGGGGCTAAGAAAATAGTACAACTAAATAAATATGAATTATTAATAATATTCTAATAATAATCACCAAATTAATTGCTTTTCTCTATCCTTTCATAAACTCATGTGTATAACAAACACAAAACTGTCTCGATCAATAATTGCGTGTCCATTTTTTGTTCAACCAATTGTGCGTTTTTATTTTTTCAATATTATGCGGGGACAGTATATATTTTTTAATGAAGAACAAATTAACTCCGAAATAGAGAGAATTTAATGAAAAGTATTCCTGATCTATTCTATACAAAATCAAACTCTAGTCCTATCATTTTTTTTTAGCATAAAAATTAATTATACATATATTAAATTATTTTATTATTATTATGTCACTTTCTTATATTACTTATAAAATATTTGGCCAAACATTTATATTTATGAGATAATTGAATGTAAGTTTAATCTTTTTAACATTAAACATATGCATACTAATTAAATTATATTTAAAATATAATAATATATTAATTTAGTATGTAATGTATATATTACTTTAAAAAATAAATATTACTATCATAATATTTTTTCAATCAAGACGATAATAATTATTAAAATTATATAATTTTGAGATTTCTGGTTCAAATTCAAATAATGGTTATAAATATTTATCATTTATTAATATAACAAAGTCTTAGAGACACACCTGAATAATATTTGTTATAAATAAATACTATAATTTATATAAAAAATATAAATAATAAATATAATATATTAAAGTATTGATATAATAGAGTAATTTCAATTAAAATTTATAATTAACAATTGTTTGTTAACTATATGAAACGTTTTGTAATAGGTGTTTTTTTTATAGATTTTCACATCTTAAAATGATAAAATAAATATCATTTATTTAAAATGACCTTATTAATAATTAGTAGTGGAGTGGTTGTATGAATTAAAATATAATAAATAATAGGAATGATAATTTAGCTCATCCTTAAATAATAGGAATGATAGTGGAGTGGTTGTATCAATTTTAAACTATTATATATTTATTATAAGGGACTATTTATTTTATAATTCAATAATAAATTATTTTTTAAAACTTTTTAATATTTTTAAAATTTTAAAATTTATGATATTTTATTTTTGATATATTTATTTTTATTAAAAATACGGGTAACAGTTACGAGTATGAACATTTATATACCCATAGGATACGGTGACGGGTGCCAATATTAATACACAAACAGATATGAAATCGGGTACTGAGATTTTTTCCAAATACAGATATTATACTATTTTACTCAAACTCTGATCATTGATATCTCTAAAAATAAATATAAATTAATGAAAATAAATAATAAATATCACATTAATATTTTAAAAATATAAATAATTTAAAATAAATATAAAAATGACATCTATTATAAAACGAAGTGGTACTTAAGTATTTTATATCGATAGATATTATATATATATAATATAATTAGTATTATATTAACAGTTTACATTACATATAAATCATAGTTAAATATGCCTTCTCATAGAAATTGTATTATCTATCTTGTGATGAATTTGAATTTTAGAGAATTTATCATATAAGGCATAACAAATTTGTTTGTATATGTTATTATTATATGTTAACATATAAGTGAAATATTAGTTGGGGCATATGCCCTGTAATCCTATACATAGGTCCATCCCTCGTTACCAACCTAAAAAAACCATATAAATTTAATTGAATGTTATTTTATTAGTAGAAAAAATGTTTGACTTTGATATATGATAATATTTTCGACAATAGTATATTAAATATTAAAAATGTACCGTTATCTCTAGAGTATAAATTATATAACTTTCAAGTTGCTTATGTTTTTTTCTTCATTTTTGGTTGATTTTCAGATGGGAATTGTGGGAGAGAATTTAAATATAGATTTTGTGATCTCAACTGGTGACAATTTTTACGAGGATGGTTTAGAAGGAGTTGATGATCCAGCATTCTACGACTCATTTGTTAACATCTACACTGCCCCAAGCTTGCAAAAGATTTGGTACACTGGTAAGTTCAAAACTTTAGTACACTATGTGTTTTGATTTTATAAAAAAAAAAAAAATTAATTTGTATAAATAAATTATTTACATTTTTTGTGTAGCTTGATCTAAACATTGGTAAGTTTATTTTTTTTATACATTATTTATCAATTAAAATATTTATTTTATTTGATTGTGGCAGTTTTGGGAAACCATGACTACAGAGGTGATGTTGAAGCTCAATTGAGCCCAATTCTAAGACAAAAAGATGGCAGATGGGTCTGCTTGAGATCTTTTATTCTTGATGCAGGTATTAACCCTTTTTATATTTTAATTCCTTTTTTTTTTTAATATATTATCTCATTTCTTTTCTCTCTTTTAAAGAAATATTTCTTTTAAAAAATATATTATATCCAATGATACGTCACATCAATGTATTTAGATCTATAAAAATGCGCTCTTTTTTTTTTCTCTTGCTCACACCGTAAAATGACACTCAGGTGAGTCATAAACGTTTTTTTCTCTTGCTCACACCGTAAAATGACACTCAAGTGAGTCATAAACGTGTTAATATATTTATGTGTTCATGTATATATAGAGAAGCTTGATACCCTAAAATGACACTCTTTAGAATAAGTGAATATTTAATGTATCAAAAGCTTTCATTGATTAAACTAAAATGTGTATCATCCTGTGTTATTTTTTCTTCTTCTTTTTCAGAGATTGTAGAATTTTTCTTTGTGGACACAAATCCATTTGTAGAAAAGTACTTTACAGATCCAGAAGAGCTTGAAAAGCACACCTATGATTGGAGAGGTGTTCTTCCTCGCGAAACTTACACTGCAGAGCTCTTGAAGGTTAGTTAAAACTCGCAAATTCAAAGTAGTTGCCATGATAAAGAATAAATAATGTGACATGGAGTTGAAAAAATCATTAAAAAAACTAAGATATTCAAATTCAAACATGTGACAATGTTTTAAACAAACAACATTTTCAACTGTGACATTCTGAAATTTTTGTAGGAAGTTGATTCAGCCTTGGTGCAATCCAAAGCAAAATGGAAAATAGTGGTGGGTCATCATACCATCAAAACTGCTGGACATCATGGTAATACCCAAGAACTTGAAGAGCTTCTTCTTCCCATCTTAAAGGTAAATGATTCTTAAAACTCAATATCACACGTACTTTACATTCATGTTTAAACCGTTATTAGAAAAACCTCTGAAAATATTTATCAAAAATTAAACAATAAAAAAATAAAATCTCTATTTAATTAACCATAACAAAATAGAATCTCTATTTGATTTGTCATACTTAAACTGTAATTAACCTGCGGTCTCTGAAAACTTAAGACGCTTTGATTTCATTGCAATAAATTATTACTATTATTGAAGTCAATGCATAAAAAGTTGATGATTTTTAACCAATTTCAACACTGTTTGTCCAGTCAAACAATGTTGATGCATACATCAATGGACATGATCATTGCCTGGAGCACATAATTGACAAAGAAAGGTAAGCAAGTTTTATTAATACTAGTAAATAGATAACATCCTCAGCATTATCACAGTTTGTGAAACTCAAGCATTTGCATAAACTTTGTAGTGGAATACAATTTTTGACAAGTGGAGGAGGATCAAAGGCATGGAGGGGAGATGTGAAGCCATGGGATGAAGAAGAATTGAAGCTGTATCATGATGGGCAAGGGTTCATGTCTGTGCAGATGACAGAAACCAATGCTGATATTGTATTCTATGATGTTTTTGGCAAGGTTTTGCATACATGGAGGATGTCTAAAGAATTTATATCAGCGGCATAGATACAAAAAGCTCAAAATATGATTATGTAATAATTCTGTATGCATAAAAAATTGAGCCCTATTAGACTCGTCATTGATACCATTATATATTTATAGATTCTTCTTCTCCGGTGGATTGATTAATTGGTTGTAATGGAGAAAGGGATAAAAGATTGTGCTACTATGTATATCGTGCACAACTTGTATAGATCTTGTATGGTGCAAGAACATTTCAACATTGCTATTCAGAATTAGTATTTAATAAGTAAAAACCTTGTGTTATATTGGTAGTTAGAATAAAAATATAATTATGCAAGTAAAACATTGAATTGTAACTCAATATATATATCAAATTATATGTATTTAAGAACGTGTTGTTAGCATTCTCTTTTATTGAATGCGTTAAAATTGTTTTGCTACCCCTCTTTATTTAAATTCAAATAGATCTAACTAAATGAACAGAGGGTGTATTTGCCATCCTCTCCATCCATTCCTTTCCTGTCCGTTCGGTTTACCTATTTTAATTAGTTATTAGTAGGAGTGTTCAAAATCAAATCAATCTAATAAAAAAATCATTTAATAACAAAACTGCGCTTCAGCTTGGTTTGCAGTTTGTATTTTATAAACTCAATGCAAACTCAAATATATTATCATGCGTTTTTCTCATTTTCTTTACCATATATATCTCACCTTTTTTACATATTATCATGCATTATCATGCGTTTTTCTCATTTTCTTTACCATATATATCTCACCTTTTTTACATATTATCATGCGATGCGTTTTTCTCATTTTCTTTACCATATATATCTCACCTTTTTTACATATTATCATGCGATGCGTTTTTCTCATTTTCTTTACCATATATATCTCACCTTTTTTACATATTATCATGCGATGCGTTTTTCTCATTTTCTTTACCATATATATCTCACCTTTTTTACATATTATCATGCGTTCTTCTCATTTTCTTTACCATATATATCTCACCCTTTTTTTTTACCATATATATCTCACTTTTTTTTTTTTTTTACTGTAGTCTCTCCTCTCTTATGTTATTTATTTTTCATTTTTGTTATTTTTTTCTCTTCCATTTTTTCTCCTATGCTTTTGTCTAGTCATATTTTAGTATATTGATTGAGAAGTTTTTGTTTAAATATGATATGTATTTAAACATAAAACCACTCAATTTCAATTTTATTTCTAAAAGCCAAACTCAAACTCAATTTTATTTCTAAAAGCCAAACTCAAACTCAATTTTGAACGTATTTTAGTATATTGATTGAGAAGTTTTTCTCGACCGAATTCAACCAACCCAAACTCAATCTCAATTTTATTTCTAAAAGCCAACCGAACCACATGCTTTTTCACATCAAAACCGCTCAACCCTTACCAAATACCCTAGATATTAAACTCTTAAAAAAATTTCACATCAAATTTTCACATCAAAACCGCTTCAACCCTTACCAAATACCCTAGATATTACAACTCTTAAAAATTTCTAGTGAATCCTTCCACTTCAGCTGTGTTTGTACTTGTTAGCATTTTTAGATAATCAGCATTCTTTGAGTTCATCTAATGTTTCCTCTATGGTTCTAAACACTCATAAGAAACAATATCTAGGATAGTATTATTAAAAGGTATTTTCTACTGCCAGAGAATTGTAAATTGTGTGCTAATCTGCAAACAATTTATTAAGCTATAAAAATGGAGAGAGGGGGATAGAACAAGAACCAATATTGCTTCCACAATTGATGACGACTTCGGCCTAATTACAATTTCAAAACCAAACTGCACTTTAAAACTGAGTGGAGACGGGAGAAATAAAACCCCAATCCAACCCAGCATTCATAAACCAATAAACAAAATAAACTCAGAAATTTACCAGCATTTCATAAGATTCCATACAAATTCAGAAAGCAAAAATATATTTAAATTTCCATTACAATAACTTAAACAAGTTCAACCGTAACAAAACATCTTTCAAAACTAAAACAAAATTAACATTCTTAACATAACAAAAAATTAGAAAAAGCTTAAACTTAAAACCTCCTTCCAGCAGCACCAGCACCGCCGCCGCGACCGAAGGGAATCGGCTGAACCGCAACCGGATCAACCTGAACCACGCCAGGAATCTCAGACATACCAAGTGCGGCAAGCATTTCAAGAGTTTCCTTATCGACTTCGATCTGATCAGTCCTAATGGCAGACACATCAGGAACAAAGTCCATACGACGTTCACGCTCCTCCTCCTGCAGCTTCAGGGAGATTCCACGAACCGGTCCTTTCTGGATACGCTTCATAAGGTGAGTGGAGAACCCTGCAATCTTGTTTCGGAGCCTCTTGGTTGGGATCAGAGCAACCTCCTCTAGAATCTTCTTGTTGGTGTGGAAATCGAGTGTCATTCGAGAATAGTACCTCTCGATGACTTGACGGGAGGATTTCTTGACTGTTTTGGTACGAACTCGCCCCATGGTTGTAACTTCGACTCGGTGACTGCGTGCGGCTACGGCGGCAGTGGGGAGCAGAGAAGCGCAGGCGGATTTAGGGTTTGTGGCTGCAAAGAATGTTGAAAGGAGTTACAGAGAGGGATAAAAGGGTTTGTGGAATATGTTGGGCTTTATAATGGGCTTGGGCTTTAAGTAACGATTTCGGTTACAGAATTTCAACCAGTACCCACATATTTTCCCTATACCACACCACACCATTAAAAAAAATTGATTTTACTCCTATTATTTTTTAATATTTGGAAACGAGTAGAGTGGACCATTAGGGCCAATTGTTGTTGTTTAAAGCATCAATAAATTCTTCTTCTTATTTTTTAATTATTTATTAATAGCTGAGATTTCTCATCTCCTTTAGGATTTATAAATAAGATCTATATTATAATCTAAAGAGTGTTTTTTTTTAAAATAATATATATTACTTTCTTTTTTTTCTCTTCTTGTTGTACCCCAAAATTTGACCGACATCTCTGGCTTATGTTTTATTTCATTGCATCAGCACATATGTAAGCATTGCATTGCATAGCATTTTGCATTTCACAGGGGTACAGCAAATGAGTTAAGTTCTCGTGTTTTGGATTGCTTGCGGTTTTCCAAGATAAAATCCTGATAGAACACCAGTTAATGTTTTTACTGAGTTGCAACAAAGAAAGGTTGGAGAAAATGCTTGCAATTCTTCTGGCTTAAAATGGATGAAAGATGTGGTTCTTGGAAAACGCAATGACAGTACGTTCCGAACTGTGGTTGTTGGTGATCCAGATCTCGAGATAAGTGAAATTGGTATACCCTGTCAAATTGCAGAAGGTTTGCAGGTTTCTGAGTATGTAAATAGACTATTAGGTGGCGGGGATGATCATCGGATGGCTGAAACAACTGTAGCTTTCATATCCTCCATTGTATGCGAAAGTACTGATAAAATATCCACGAATCTGCCATCAGGCGTGGTCATTTCACGCGACTTGCTTGATGTTCCTTCCTCTCTCTTATCATCTATATATTTTCTTGATTATAGTATTCTTGTCCATGCTTCTAAGATGTGGCCTGTGACGCTTTATGCTGGCTTGGACATGGCCATAACAGATCTGTGCAGTGATAGTCAAAATGTTGCTCTTATTGAAACATCTGATCTTAAATTGTGTCCAGACTCTTTAACTTGTGGTCAACTCTTAGAGGCTTTTAAACCTGATTCTGCTGCATTTAGTATCGTTCTAAAACAAACACTTTCCACTTTGACTGTACTCAAATCACGCTTGCTCCCTCTCCTCAACTACCTCTTTTTCTCTCACTCACTCTCTCTTCAAACCCTTTCCTTGATTATTGTAGGTATTTTGTGGCTAAAAGGAGTAGTTGTGGTGGATTAATCTTTGTGGATAAGGATAGAACAGCATGCGGTGGTGGTTCAGTCTATCTATTGATGTTTATCGCAAAGTTATTTCTTTGAATCTCTATTGCAAAGTTATTCTCTAACTTCTTAAATTTTCAACCCTTTATTTAGAACTCTTCAATTTTCTCATTTTTTTTATACCTTCAAACTCACCTCAATGGGATCCAATTTCTTTGTCGTTGTTCCTTGTTATGTTCGCCAGATCAGCTGAAAAATTAGCTACACCACTTTGTTTTTAACCCGTTTGTGTTGTGAGTTCTTTTCAAGATCTGTTTGAATTGGTTAAGTGAGTGTTGAGATTTTAGTGAATCATCAATTTGTTGTATTTGGAACATTTTGGTTATTGCATATTTTGAAGGGTTGGAAAGTAGTTATGGTGTGCCAAGCAGCTGGTCAAACCAAATTCCGGGCTTTGAAACATGAAAATGGAACGGCAGGGTGCGCAACCATCATAGTTAGAGTTATAGCATGCTTTCAACCTCTCAGAGAATGCCAGGCTGAATATTTCCGTCAGTTACTCAAACCTGTAACGTAATTGTTTAGTTTTCCTTTGCTCTTTTTGGGTTAATCCGGTGGTTTTAGTTGTTTTAATCATTGTTGGTATAAGAGAAACCAATAGTAAAAGATAGCTCTTGGTGTTTGAATCAGTTTTTCTAAAGGTGATTGTTGTGGTTGAAAGGGAGAGAATTGCAGAACCTGGACGCATCAGGTGCAATTTAGTGAATCACCCAATTCGAATTCTTTCTGTGCTCTCTTTGATATGGGAAAGCAAAATGCTGCTGCCGCAGCAATGAACCCGGGTGTCGATATGAATACAATTTCAAGGAATGAGGCAGTACCACCAGCTTATACATCCTCTGCACTACCTTATATGCAGTCGGGACATTTAAATGAACCTCATGGTTGGTTTTATTGTTTGCCTCGCTTTCGACAGGGTTTTACGTGTCCTCCAAACTTCATTTCTGAGGATAAACTCCCTCCTGCTAGTCATTCGAAGGGTTTTAAGGAGGAAACTACACAGAATGGGGAATCGGGCTTTCCTCAAAAACAGTTTCTTGTCATTGATCAAACCGGTGATCAGACAACTCTCATTTATAGTTCGAGGTTCGGTAGGCCTGTTGAGTGCCTTGGTTCATGGGATTCCAAATTTCACGGCTGTAACAATTTGAATGCAAATAATGAACCTTCTTTAAGAAGAAATGTGAATCATGTAGTTGGAGTTGAACCAACTTTTGATTATAAAGTTGATGAAAATGAGAATCATGGAACTGAAATTGAAAGCGAGATGCATGAAGATACGGATGAGATCAATGCATTGCTTTATTCTGACAGCGAGGTTTATTCTACTGAGGATGATGAAGTTACCAGCACAGGTCATTCACCCAGTACAATGACCACTCAGGACAACCAGGAACCTTATGGAGTTGGAGGAATTGCTGAAGAAGTTGCTAGCCCCTCCCCTGGTAAAACAAAGAAACGTAAGCTATTCGATGTGGCTTATGACGATGTGCAGTTTATGGACACTGCAAATTCTGTAAAACGAAACCGACCCATCGACCAATCAGACTTATGGTTCATTACTAAAAACCTTACCTTTATCAAGACTTTTGCTTCTGGAATTCTTGTTCCCAAGGGATATATATGGCCAATAGATGCTGTTAGTCTTTATTTGCAACCACATACCACTTTGGTTTCAGATGCACATAAAGCGGGGCTGGAAGTTTATGCATCAGATTTTGCGAATGATATTGTAACTAGCTTTAATTACAGCTATGATCCTCTTGCTGAGTACCTCCAATTCATTGGTAACGGTGATTTCTCCGTTGATGGTGTGCTGACTGATTTTCCCATAACTCCATCTGAAGCAATTGATTGCTTTGCCCACCTAGGCACAAATGCTACGAGAAGAGATAAAACCTTGATTATCTCAAAATTTGGAGCAAGTGGAGATTATCCAGCTTGTACCAACTTAGCGTATAACAATGCCATATCAGATGGTGCGGACGTTCTTGACTGTCCTGTTCAAATTTCAAAGGACGGAATACCATTCTGCTTAAGCTCCATTGATCTTCTAGAGAGTACCACAGTTGCTCAAACAGGCTTCAGTGATTTGGTCATGAGTATCCCCAAGATTAAATCCGGCCGTGGCATATTTACGTTCAAATTGACATGGGCTGATATAAAAGGCCTGACCCCCTCAATATTGAACCCTTTTTCAAAATACACACTGTTCAGGAATCCAGAATATAAGAATGATGGGACATTTTTAACATTATCAGATTTTTTGTCGTTGACAAAAAATCATACTTCTCTATCAGGCGTCTTGATCATTGTTGAGAATGCAGCCTATCTTGCAGAAAAGCTGGGATTAAGAGTGGTTGATGCCGTCATTGATGCTTTAAGCAAAGCAGGTTACGATAAACCAGGGAGCCAAAAAGTTTAAATTCAATCCACTAATAGCTCTGTATTACTGAAGTTCAAGGAGAAAACCAAATATGAGCTTGTCTACAAGATTGACGAGACAGTCAGTGATGCTACCAATGCAGCTGTGGAAGAAACATTCAGCAATGAGTTTGTATCTCAGGCATGGGATTACTTCTCAGATTCAACAGTGGAGATCAACTCATTTATTCAGGAAGCAGGAATTAATGGGGTCATCACAGATTTCCCGAAAACTGCTAGTAGATATTCAAAAAACAAATGCTTAAACTTGGGTGATAAGACACCTCCCTACATGCAACCTGTTAAAGCAGGTGATCTTTATAAAACCCTTGACAATCGGACATTGCCTCCAGCTCAGGCTCCACTCCCTCCTTTGACTAAATCTGAAGTGGTAGAGGCACCTTTGCCTGCTGTTGCTAAAATTGACCCCACCTTCTCGCAGAGCTCCTCTTCCATTACCTACAAGATCCATAACCATGACTCGTAAATCTCGCGCAAGAGCCAGCTTTATTCCAAACCTAATTCACATCATAAAATGGTACTCCAAGCGGCCACCATTCACAAACTGACAAAGGTTGCCCCTCCAGCTCATACGACTCACGCAGATTTGAGGTACCCCACACGTATCAGTCATATAGCCCATTCTCAGCTTCTCCTTGCAAACTTGTACCATGGCATTACATGACCCCACCGAAAATCTGTTTGAAATCGCATAACAGACAAAAAAAATAGCCTGCTGCACCCATCCCACACCAGACCAAATCCTGCGCCATTCTGCTACCAACAGACAATGCCAGCTACAACCACTACCCTGCTACAAACTCACACCATACAAACAGCCATGCCAGACAAGCTCTGCACCAACTGTACCGGCCTGCTGCTCTCTGCTACACAAGCATACTCTACTAACAACAGCAGCCTGTAAAAGAAAACCATCCCTCAAAAAACACAATAAAAACCACCACTTGCATAAAACACTAGCAACACATCTTGAATCATTCACACACAAACTACACTTCAAGAATATAAACCATCACTCCTTACTCACAGTAACAGACTCCAATCTCCTTAACATACCACCATTCCTCCTTAGAACTTCATCAACAAACTTCAATTACCCATTCACCAAAATCCAATCCTCACT